GTTGTCTCCGTCGATGTAGTCGTCGACGTCGTCCCAGTGGTCGTGCTTGTTGTTGTTGTTGTCTCCGTCGATGTAGTCGTCGACGTCGTCCCCGTGATCGTGCTCGTTGTTGTCTCCGTCGATGTAGTCGTCGACGTCGTCCCAGTGGTCGTGCTTGTTGTTGTCGTTGTCTCCGTTGATGTAGTTGTCGACGTCGTCCCAGTGATCGTGCTTGTCGTTGTCTCCGTCGATGTAGTTGTCTCCGTCGTTGTCGACGTCTCCGTTGTTGTGGTAGTCTCGGTGGTCGTGGATGTCTTAGAGGTCGAAAACAAAATCAGATGAAGTGCAGCGCCTATCCCTATGACACCCTGTCCTGTACTTGAAATAATTATCTATCCGGATGACGATGGCGATACTGATTGTGGCCGTCTCCTGGTTACTGAAGCTATTGGGGACGACCTAAATCTTACTGCGCTAACTTCAATTTTATCTAAGAATATGACGAGTGGGAGTGCAAGTAGTTGTGGCGGACAAGAAAGAGGATTTGCAACTAAGTACTATGAAGACTTGCAACTACTATTTTGAGTACTATACTCATGGGTACTAGCGTAGGAGTAGGTCTTCCAATTGTTCAGCAAACTCTTCAGGTATACAGCATTAATATACTAGACCATGCAGCCAGAGCCTCCCCAGGGGCCGCCCTAAGCGTATAACCAAAGAATCTGGTAAGCTGACCGTAGACAAGAAATAATCCAAGAACCTCTCGTCTCTCAAAAAACATCGAGTACTACGAAGGAAGACACAACAAAGGGAGCCGTAACCGTGGTTGTGGATGTCGTGGTTGTGGATGTCGTGGTTGTGGTTGTGGATGTCGTGGTTGTGGTTGTGGATGTCGAGGTTGTGGATGTCGAGGTTGTGGATGTCGAGGTTGTGGATGTCGAGGTTGTGGTTGTGGATGTCGATGTTGTGGATGTCGATGTTGTGGATGTTGTTGTATCGATGTCACTTAACTTAGACCTTAATGCCGATACTCATTTTAGAAGTCATCTTTGACCATGAGACTTGTTTTCATCCTCTTGAAAACAATAGATCACGCATCTTGTCTTCAAAGATACATCTTCAGCATTTATACTTTCAAGTATAGATGAGGCCGCAGATGAGTATCAATATAATATCGAGTAAGAACTCATCTTAATCAACGGCGCATCTTGTAGACATATCACGCTTACCGCCTTTGGCACAATCTGTCCTCCTTCTTCTTTGTCTTTGTCGCCGCAGTTGTTGGAGCTTGCCCCGATTCATCTCTGTTGCTAAGAGAAGCTATTGATCTGTACTAACTTACCAGCCGCAGCAGTATTTTTGAATATAAGTCCTTCTACTTGCTTATCCTCTGTTTTCCAATAAATGCAAGGGGAGGGAAATAGACGTGGATACGACCACCACGAGGAGCCCAAGGGAAGTCCGATAGAGCTGGATCGATTAGAGACTGCAGCCTTAAATTCGAAACGCTTTGGAACCTCCAGGTTTCCGTCTAAGCCTGGCATCGCCTTCGTCACGTATTGACGTACATCGTTCTTCTTAGAAACTCGAAGAGTGGTCGGAAGATTCATCTCCACCAAATTTGCTTGATATTTTCATAAAAGTAAAAAATATCCATACACATACTATCCTCCATCATGCTTGTAAATGTGATATGAAATAGCTGCTGTTCGTGTTCCTTAATATCTTGCGAATCTGAGAATTTTCGGCAGCCTCCTCCGATGGCGGTCCAGTCACCGTCGGCAGGACACGCCATATCCGCCAGCTCGTGGATGGTGTTTTTTCCATCTAGCCACACAACCGAGGCCCCCTCGAGCGGTCTATATAGTATATATTTATTTAAGTAGGAGCGATGTCGGACATCGGATGTCCGACGTTGTCCCTGATCTTCTTGTAGTTGTAGAGCCCGAGCAGGTCGAGGAAGGAACAAGCATGATTCTCTCAACTCTCGTGAAGCCGCTCAAAAGCACAGGCCGGGGAAGACCAAGGTGCAGCCTCGATGGTCTGAAAGATGGAAAACACGTCATCCATACATCTTGGCAGTGCCTCTGATCCAACCGCTTCTGACTACGGGCACAATCCCCTGTGTGCACAGGGCTGTGATCTCTTCTTCTTAAAGCTAGTTGTAGCATTCATGTGTATGTTTGGTAGCAGTAGGGATCTCCAATGGAGGCACCGTCAGACGAATAGCTTTAGCTACATAAGTAGACACTAATAGCTACAGAAGAGGCACCATGACATGACAATGACATAGTGCTAGAAGTGGTAATGGTACTCAGCCCATTCTTCATGGGAGGATACAGTGAGTCTCAAAATGAAAATGCAAAGATGTGGATTATTTTGCTTTTTCAGTGACGAGATGCGTGTGCAGGGCGGGGAGTATCTATTTAATTGACTAGATAAGGATGACACGACAAAGTTCTTCGCGCCATCGTCCTCCTGGTACGACGACAGAAGATTAAAAATAGTCGTACAAAAACTACTAGGTCGTGTAACTAAGGTGATGCTGAGTCATCATGCAGTAGTACTAGTAGTAGCGTGCCCATTCATGGAGTATACGCGAACTTGTTTAATTAGCAAGATGCTCCAAGCCGCGCAAGTCGTAGTCGTGACGAGTTCCTTCCTGGCAGTCGTAGTCGTACTCAAAAATTCACAACAGCAGTCGTGATGAGTTCCTTCCTGGCAGTCTATTCACAACTATTCTAAAATTTGATTAAGTGTCTGGCGCCTAATTCTCGACGTCGTCCCCCTCACCGCACTGATACGCTTCAGGCCCGTTTTGGTACGTATCGATATATGAAGGGGGAGCTACTACTTGTTTTGTGCAGCTAGTACTTTCGATTTCGTCCATTTTTTACATTTTTCAGACGGGGAACGGGAATATTTATAAGAAGTACTTATGTTGATGAAGAAGCGCCCCTTACCCTTTTTAGATTGATCCATTAAGGTGCCACAGACTTCTAGAATTCGAAAACTCAAAATAACCGAGTTACTGACTGAAATAAGGGAGGCACTAGCTTATAGCGTCGAGGTTACCACCTTTCCTTCTGCTCGCCAGTATCTCGGTTACTCTGATCAGTGACTTGCTTATTTCAGTTTTTCGAAGAAAAAGTAGAACTAGTGTGTGCGTTAGAAGGAGTGTTGGATTTCATTAAAAAATTCCGAAGAAAAAGTAGAACCAGCGTTAGAAGGAGTGTTGGATTTCATTAAAAAATTCCGTCTTCGGGCATGGAAAAAAGGTTAGAGTTAGTAGCCAGACGAGCAAGAAAGAAGTAGAGTGGTCTTGTAGACTCTTTCTTACAGTAGAATTTTATCGCAAAAAACTAAGGAAATCCTAGAATTAGAATATTACGTATGATCCTTAAACGAGTTCTGTGGCGAAACTGCGTGTCTAGCATTTGAGGCCCAGACATAGCGTTGGCTTTCTTGGTCACTGTGGGCCAGCAGCCACCCCCTAGAAGCCGAGTATAGTGACGTGCCCAAATATTAGAAGAGGAACCTGCTCAGGGATCTATCTCTATAGAAGATCTTGATCTAGCAGAAGACGTTTCGCACACAAGAATCTGAGGAGTGAGTGAACGACTGTACCCACTCCAGGGGTATGTCAGTCCTGTTGTACAAGATGGAAGCCTCATCCATACCAGGTGAAATAGATTCGCAACGCAATATTTATTTTTTTTGCGGATCATCATGCGCCATTTCTATCATCTATTGCACTAGGTCGAATGAATTAGAATTCCAATTCGCGACGCAATCTCAATCAACGACCCTTGAGGCGGTGCGCTATCTATACTAGGTGGGATGGATGCGGAGCAAACTACATTTACCAGGTGGAAACAAACCCTTAAGATCGGTTGTTGGAGTGGTAGAACGGTCCGGACACGTTGCCGCTGCGACCCCATCATTCGGAATTCCATCATATGATAAGAAAAAGGCTACTCATGCTGCTCAAGGTCCTGCTCCTAGGCTTGTCTATTTCCCTAGGCTGGTATATCCGCTCTTGAAGCTGCAACATGGGGGAAAGGCGTTCACTTCTTGCTTCTATCCCCAATATGTTCTTCTTGAGCTGCCTAGATGTGGATTGTTTCTTCCTGGCGGAGCAGGTTTGGGTCAACCCCGTCCCCGTCAAGTATATGTATAAGGCCCCCCCAGCAAGCCGACGGAGGAGTATGAGTAATCGTTTTTCTTCCATACATCATTTTGATCCTTATCCTTGAGTGACACTGTCACTTTATGGACCGGAATGTCGGCGGAACACAAAGCGTATAAATGTGGTTAGAAGTGATGGCTGTGCCAGTCGTCCTGTCTACTCCTACAACTGTAAATTTCCTTGTTCTACCACGACTTCCCTACGCCACCTTTTAGACCTAAAAAATTGTTAGCCAGTTTCTTGACTCTGGAGACATCGCGGAAATAAGATCTTCTGACGCGCAGTCTAGTACAACAAACCAGCTCCATCTTTCGGCTTAAAAGCTTCAACGATATGCTACGCTTCAAGAGTATCTTCAATATCAATGCGAAAGAAGTAGAGGAGTACTTGTACTACTAGCAGCATTTCTATTTGAAGCGGTGCCGGGTCTGGTCATAATCGTAAAAGCCGACCCAAGTAGTTATGAATGGACAAATTACAAAAGGGGACAGCAGTCGGCTACGACAGAATCGACAGAAGCCGCCGACCCTGTCGAGAGTTGACCTCCAGCCGAGAATGAAAACGCGAGGTCAACTTCCGACAGAGTCAGCTAATTCTGTAGATTCTGTCGAAGCCGGCTGCTGTGCTGTCCACTTTTGTAGTTTGTCCGATCATACTGCTAGTGTCAGACTCCTCAGGCCCACCGCATTCCCAGCCACCATTTTTCCCATCAGCATCTCCATATGGCCGGCTACGAGAAACGCCCCTGACGTCCTTGACAACCTTCGACCTTTAGACAGAAATAAATCAGCACGCAAGGGGAATCGGTGTCCTCGTAAAACAATCAAGAAAGAATGGCGCGCGCCCTCGTCTAGGGTGTCATAGTTGATTATGATTACCCATTCACAGTCACATTGCAAAAGTAAGCAGCTGCTGTAGCAATACCCCTGGGAAACACGACGCGCGCAGTATGGCTCTGCTGGATAGTATCCGACACAAACACAAATCCGAACACACCATGCCAATAAGAGAGGCTCGAGAAGACAAGGCTCGAGCCAGCTCGCTTTGGCGTCGACAGTAGCGTCCTGATTCGTTTCTAAACAAGCGGGGCCAGCATGGCTTCTAGACCAACTGGCAGGCTAATGCTTCTGCGCACATATACGCCACTTAGCACGAGTCAGCCACAAGTTGAAGCTAGCAAGCCAACGGGCTATGGCGTGCATTGGTAAGCCCGCCGAGTCGCTGGCCATGGATGACTTAGTTGCCGCCAAGCCGCTTGCTTCCTTGCTTCACTCTACTAAAATGAAGCAGCTTGTCGGGTGGCTTAGCTCATAAAACTAGCGCGGTGCGTGCTGGGGGCATAGAAGTTGCGTCAGACAATGTAGAGGAACACCATCACGAAGGCCACCAATCACACTGAAAAAAACAGACCCGCCAGGCGGGTCTTACTAACGCGGCGGGGATGGCGCTGCCTGTTTCACCACATCAAAAAAGGCCTCCCAGGCCCCAGGCTTCACGCGGTCCACGTTTTGCGCTACGACTCGAAACCCACACAAAGCAGGAGCCCTGCCTCACTCAGGCGATGCTATGGCGTATTTAGGTGGCCTCAGTTATCTTCGGGCGGGGGCCGCTTAAGGGGAGGCCCTCCGATGAAGGGGAAGGCAATGCAAGATGGAGGGCAAAAAAGAGCGCGCGAAGCTCCCCTCGCCTCCCTGGGGGTCCCCCGGAGGGGTGGCGGACGTTGGTCCGGCCTCTCTTTGCGGGGTCGAGTAGGGGCAGCCCTTCACTTTAAAGATAAGAGGGCAACCCTCTTAGGCGAAGCAGCTGCAAAGATGAGACGGCAGCCCGCCCCAGCTGGTCGGTGGGCGTGCATCATCATCACCGGCATCAGCGTGAGCTATCTACTTCGGGGCCCCGTCCCGCTCATTCGAAACAAACACCAACGAAGTGCGGCCGCTGCTTCATGGTCCAGCCCTTGCAAATGTGGCCCGAGTCCCTGCTTGCATTCAAGCCACAGCCCAGGCGCAGGCCCAGCCGCTTCGCCATTCGTTACAGCCCGGGAGGGAGGGCCCATGAAGTGCGGACGCCGAGCTGCCGCCCAGGCTTGCTCCGGTGTGTGTGGGTACTCACAGCCCCAAGCAAGCCCCACCCGGGACGGGCGCGAAGTAACGTGGAACCCAGCCCGCAGCCTAGGTCTTGGCATTGCCCGGGGAGCTCTGCTGCCTTTTCGTTGTCGCCAGACACACTCACAGAGAAGCAAAGAAGGCACAGCCCGCACGCTTTTGCGCGGATCCTTTACTGCTCGAGACCGAGTGAACCTATCCAGAGCCTGCCTGCCAGAGGCTGGGCGCCAATTCATGGGCGACCCAGCTTTCTTTCGGTTAACAAAGTCGCGGGCAAGGTCGACGCATTGACATGGCCTGGCGCGAAGCCCACGCAACATGCAAAAGAGGGCGCAGACTATTGTCCAGGCTTCGCCCGGTCTGGATTATTCTGCAACCAAAGCCCAAACAGTGCAGAGCACTATGCCTGGCCTTACATCCTGCGGCGCATCGGGGGAGAGTCGCACGAAATCCGCGGCAACCTGCATGGGCCTGAAGCAGTGGCCCCGGTGCTCTCCTTTGTCCCTTTGGTCTGCATTGCTCTGCACGATCCTCCAGACAACCAACCCGAAGCCCAAGAGGCCGCAGCCCGCAGCCAGTCCAGTGAGTGCTCCTCAGCATATTGATGCCCCACGCGTGCAGTTGCAAAACCCACGCAACATGGGCAAACATGGTTGGAAAGGCGTGCACGCCACGCAAAGCTTGGCTTCCATACCGCTCCACACAAGACCCACACCCAGGCACCCGCCTGGCTTCTTGCTTTGGGTTGGTTGCTCTGCGTCACCTTTCAAGCCGACCGAGCAAAGAAAACGCGGACAAGGCTACTCTATAGCACGGGCCCAGGTATTGGCATTGGGTGGCTCCTTGCTGAAAGTCGAGCCCGCTACAAGTCGCTCGCCCGCATTGGCTGCGGACGAGCGGTGCTGGCCAAATTTGGGCAAGAAGCAAGCACAGACCACACCACAACCCCCAGCCCATTCATCTGCCAAAGAGTTAGAGAAAAGAAAACGAGGGAAGACTTGCCTCCCAGCGTGGTTGAGGTTCCTCCGCTGAATCCAAAGAGGGGCCCCATGCTCTTGCATTATTGTCCACAGCTGCAGCAGAGCGCGGGCACGCCTGGAATGGATTAGCAACACGACGCAAAATCTACACAAGGCTGGGCCCAAGCCTCACGCCGTGGCCCCTTCAGGTTTGGCCAAGCCTTGGCGTGCTACTCTGTCAGCCTAATCAAGGGACAACCTGGCCCACCAGTCCGCAGCTGTTCCACTCAAACTAGCGCCGTTTCAGTTCGTTGCAGCTCGGTCGCGGGCTTGGGTTGCCAGACGGGTTTGGTTGCCTTGGATTACTCTGCACCACTCGAAGAGAACCCAGACCGAAAGGAGGGGCACGGTGTGCACTTTGCAAGCGAGCCCCGCCGCGGTTTGCCTCGCGGCTCGAAGCCCACCACCAAAGACTTGGGCTGCGAGCGATGGGCAAGGTGGGAAGCCATGAAAAGCACGCAAGACCTCCACAAGGGGGGCGCAAGCTAGTGCGGCGGATGCTGTGAGCAAGACTGCAGCGCCTATAATGTAGAAGCAAGACTACCATAGAGAACGCCATCACCCACACCGAGAAAGAGCCAGCGAGCAAGTCTGGAACGACGGCACAGCGCAGCCTCAGCCCATGAGACTGACTGGGCGGCAGCTCGGGGGTCAGTCAGGTGCTGTAGATAGCTAAGCTTGTGCCAAAGTATGCTCGAAACAGAGGCAAGCACTTCGTGCTCCACAGTCAGCCCGGACACCCTTTTGGCTACAGCTCAAACCCACACAAAGAAAGCGCGGCCGCTGTTTCTTCCGCGCGAAGGAAGAGTCCAGCCACAGTCCGCACGCAGCACAAAAGAAACAGAGGCGCCGAGCTGTGACCCAGGCACACGGTGGCTGGCTGAGTCCCTCTGCATAATCCAAAAAGAACCACGGCGCAGCCGAGAGTCCATCCCCTGACTGTGTGGACTGCAGCAGCAGCAACCAACAAGCCCAAAACCAAGGCAGAACTCTTCCGCACGATGCTGGCAAGGTAGCTGCTGGCCTTTGATTTCCAGCCGAAAGCCTCTCACTATATAGACGCGAAGAAATGAGAAGGCACCCCCGGACCAGGGTAGTTCGCTCCCAGTTTGAGCCGGTTTCTTTGCGTGACATCTACGAACCAGCGCGAAACCTGGCAGCGAGGGCGCGGCTTAGCGTGTCCCCTCGCCTACAGGCTGACCAAGCCCGCAAAGTTGCACACCGCTCCGCCCTCTAATGGTTGCCGCCCTGTCTTTGGCGTCATTTTTGGCCAATATTTACCCCGCTGTGCTTTGTGTCCTGTTTTGTCTATATTTTACCCCAAGAATCGGCCGCCCGCTCATGGGGGAAGGCATCGCTGTGGCGCAAGTAAACCAGCAAAATAGAGCGGCCGAAACCTCCCTAGTTTTGGAGATTCCAGAAGCCCTCCGCAAATGTCTCCAGAGATGTCGAACCACACAGCCCTCACAGGCTTCCAACCTGCACCGGGGAGGAGGGCTGCGGGCTCCTGGCCTGCCGTGGTTTCAGTCCCCCGCTTCACTGGCGGAGAAAACACCCCAACCATCTGGAGCGAGTTTCTGCCAATGGCTTCAACCCTGGAAAATGTAGCCACTTCACAAGCAAAACACTGGGTCCCACTGCGAAAGGCCATCCCCTCAGCCTCGTAATGCCTGCAAAAAAGACCCAGGCGCCGGCCCTTTCCTTCATAGAAGCCCAGCCAAGCAAGCTGCACCCGTGGAGTCAGGTGGGGGCGATTTATTTACCTGCGCACGGCATGGCTGAAACCCACGCAGAGCGCGCGGGGCTCAGACTTCGCGCCGCCGTCCAGGTTTTGGCCGGGTCACTCTGTTCGACCAAAACACGAGCGGGCCCATCGACCACAGACGGCCGGCGGCCCACGCATGCGGGCGCCGCTGCTTGGGTTACGGCTCGCAGCCTGCGCGCCAAGTCATCCGCCCCCTTTTGTCTGAGGTTGGACTAAATTACTCCGGGCAACGAACTCGAACAAAATCCGGCACACGCGCTAGGAGGCGGGCCTTCAGCTTCACAGGGGGGCTTGCAACGGTGTTGGAAGGGTCTTGCAAGATATTGCGAGGGGGTCGCGTAAGGAGTCCCAAGGGTGGCCATCATGGTGCAAAGGGGGAGAAGGTAAAGCCATAAAGGAGCCACAACGGTCGACGAGGACACTCGAAAGGCCTCACAGGGGCACTAATAGAATGCGCATCGCAAGGGCACCACGCGGGTGCTATGCGGGTGCTATAAGGGTACTCTAAAGGTACCACGAAGGCAAGACCACAGCGCAGGCCACCGAGTACACAAAGACGCGCTGGGCTCCATCATGGAGCCACTTTTTGGCGGCTATTCATTCAGTCAGCTAGAAAAAGGAGCGCAAAGAGCGCCCGCCCGCGAGGGGGTCGCAAAGGGGTGCGCAAGTCATAAGGGTGCAAGAGCTGACCAAGGGGGGCGGGGGTTGTGCGGGGGGCTGCAAGGGCATCGCAAGGGCCCGCGAGGCTATCGCCTAAGGGTACTAAGGATTCACTTGACGGCTCAAAGGGGGTCGGGGTGGGCAAGGGTTTTACAACGGTAAGACAAGCGCTTTTAGACCTAGACATATATCAATCAGCAGAGGGGGAGCTTCGAAGGGGGGGCCGGTGAGGGGGGCTGTAAGGGTGCCACGAAGGTCCTAAAGGGTACCCCAAAGGGGGCGCATAGAGGTCATGAGGGTCTGCGCAGCTAACCTCTCAAAGGGGGGCCCAAGGGGGGGAGCAGGGTCTTGCGGCGGTATCAGTAAGACAAGAATCTGCATTGATATGCATTAATTAAGTGGAAGCCAAGCCATCATTTTATCACGCAACAAGTCGCCGCGGCAATGTGCGTCGACTCGTTCTATTATCTAATGTGGAGAGCTCGTCTCCTGAAGGGCTTCAAGCTGCATAAAGTAGCCCTAAGTTTCGCCGCCACCGCCGCCTTTGTTCTTATTGTTGTTGTTCTGAGACTAAGAGAGGAACTTGCCGAAGCCGTCGGGCCGATCACTTGCAACGAACAGACACCACCAACACGACACGACCAAAACCAGACGAACCGAACGAAGACAACCTACACAGAGCGGCCAAAAATGACACGCGCCCAAGTAGGTGGAGAAGCTAAGGCCCCACCCCCAAGGCCGCACTTACCGCGCACACAAAGGGGAAACGCCGACAGACTACTCAAGACACCAGAAGCCCCCCGAGCGGTGCCGGCAGAATGGGCGCATGCGCCGACCATTCACAACGGGCGCCAAGGCGGCCCAGCCCCCAGAATGTAATGAGACGACGACGCGCCCCAAGGTCTGGGCCCTCGCGGCAATTCACTCGCGCAGATTCTTCACACCCCCGGCGAGTGCCTTTCTGGCGGCGTTTTCAAGCTATGGCCTCTGAGCTGTCGGCGGTTCGTCCTCACTCCCGGCTCGTCGGTGGCGAAGCTTTCAGACAAGGGGGGCCTCTGAACTTCAGGCGCGCGCGGGGCTGTGGCTGACGCTGGTGCCGCACCCTCGACTTCTCTCTCAGGCGAGATTTCCAAGTCTTCGCCAGGGGCCTGGAATTATCGCCCCCCGCGAGAGGGGAGCGAGAATCCTCGCACACGCCGGGGTATAGGCGGCTGCTTTCGGTGCATTTTCTTGCGAATTTCACTCAAAAAACAGCGTGGACCTTTCGGCGCGTGCCGGGATTCTCGCCCCCCGCAAGAGGGCAGCGAGAGTCCCTGGTCCCAGGCGAAGGTCTGGGAATCTTGCCCCAGAAGCCGAGGGCGCGGCACCACCGGCATCTGGCCAACGTTCACGAGCCCCCTCCGATATCTTCAACCCAGCCCGAGCCTGAAGAATGTCTTGTTTCACGGGACCGCCGCGGGCTATCACGAAGACCACACGCAGCGCCAACGACGGCGGGACGCCGGGCCTGGGGCTATAACATAAGCCCAGCTAGCGGAGAACAACAGCCGCAAGATCCGACCCGAGCCCGCCCTGGGAAATTTCGTCGGGGGGGCCGGCGGCGGCTATCGTGGTCATGCCCAACACTCAGCGCAGAGAAGAATCCACGCCAAACAAAGCCCTCGCCCCCCGTAAGACGGGAGCGAGAATCCTAAGGCCCAGCCAGCGCTTTCGAGACATCTCCAAAACTGCGTCGACAGTGGTCAAGCCCAACCCTGGCGGCAGCCGTGTCCAAGTTTCTTGCCACCGGAAAAACGGGCGCCGGCACCGCACTGCGGAGCCCGAAACACTGCGCGAAAGCCCTCACCCCGATGACCCCATAGAAGGGAAAATTGGTCCCCGACTGCGTCCACACTACAAGTGACCGGATTCGCGACTTCGGCCCTTCGTTTCATAAGGTGCGGCCTGAGTAATTTCACAGCCTCCACCCACCACGGCATAGGGGGGGCGACATGCTAACCGGATCCAGCTTTTGCCATCGCCTTTGCCTCCGTCTGCCGATAGCATCTTAGAGCTTCTCAATACTATTATACGTCTGCGGAAGAAGCCGATGGCAATGAGAATAAATCGCGAATGTTTCTTGAGTGGTGTGCCCATTGGTTGAAATGATGCACGCACGGTAGGACGCGCGTCGTCTATATTATAGACGGCGCGCGTCCTACCTTCCTTCATATAGTATAATATTGCCCCTTTCCTTCTTTGCATAGTTCGTGTTTTCGGTAGCCTGAGTCTGATCATATAAGGGAAAGCAAGAAGAGAGCGCATGAAGCATGTGATCGAACTCATGTTACTAGGCAACCGAGCCACCCACTCTTAGAAGCCTTCTAGCGTCAACACTGGGGGACATGCATATGCAACATTAACTCATGCTAAGTGTAAAAGAGCTACAGACCTGAATAGTCTTGCCCTCCTCAAACTACGACTCTGTGGATAAATGTGCCATAATTTGAGCATCAGGCAATTTCTGCGACTTTGTAACCAGATGCACGCGATACGCAAGGCATGAAGGGAGCACAACTGTTGAACACCATCGCCAACAAGTGCACTTCTACTCTACACTATCACTAGTACCATTGACCGCGAAGATAGTTCGCTACTCCAATAGAAGCCAATCACAGAAGAAATGTAAGACCAGTGGCCACGACGCTTGGCTACTCAAGTAGAGGCCAAGCCAGCGACTCGCAAGAGGGAGGCCTGTCCGAAGTGCGTACTTCACGCGGCAAGCAGCCAGCCGCCTCAGCCTCTCTATTCCTGCTAAATAACTGCGATAAAAATCCCCGACAAGGCAAGGGCAGCGCCGCCGCGCCCTCCCCCGTGGCGACAGCCTCTGCCTCTAATCGGGGGCCCCCGCGCGACGACCTAAGGAGCACACACGCCGCCCCCTATCCACCCAAGCCACCCAGCCGCCCCGCCATGCTGATCCCCCCATCAGCCACGAGTCCCCCACACAAGAAACCACAACAACAAAGGCACCCCGCGCGCACCACTCCGAACCCTGTGCAAGCTTTCTCCAAGGTCCTCCACCGTGGCCCTTGCCCTGGACGACCTCGCGCGACATGGTCGCCCCACCAGGCAGACCGACCGACGCCAATCTCCAGCGATCGGCCACGCCATCTATGTCCGCCCCGCGTCGTCCCCTGGCTTCTACGTCTTTCCCTTCTATAGACCCCTGCATAGGCCCTGCTATACAGTCTTCTACAACCCCTTCTATAACCCCTGCTATATCTTTTCCCGAGACACCTCAAAAACCGCGAAACAAGCAAAACCAGCGCGATTCTACAGTGTCAAGATATAGCAGAGGATAAAGAGGAGCTTATAGAAGAAAGTGCTTATAAAATAAGAGACCCAATAGAAGGGTCTATAGTAGAGTATATAGCAGAGGATATAGAAGACCCACGACCGCCCAAAAAACGGCAACCCTACGGAAGCCCCGAAGCCTGCAAAGCCCCTGACCCAAGAAGAAGAACAAAGCTCGAACACCGTCGGACAACACACCCAGGGCAGGCCCAGCTCCCGCCGACCCAAGGGACCACCGCAATGCCCTACGCCTCTCTACATTACAAGCCCAGCAACGCGCGGCATGGCCTCGAAAGGTCTACAGAAACCCAACAACAAGGAACACCGCAACGCCAAGCGAGCCCCAGCCACCGCCACAGATATTCGAAGAGAACGAAGCGGGTGGAACACCGCACAAAAAACCACGACTACCAACCGCGACCCCCAAGGCCGCAAACTCCGCCCGCGAAGGACTTGGCAAACCGGCCCCGCCGCCAGCAAACGCGCGCGACCTCCCCCGCATCAGATATGGCAGCTCCGTAGGAGATATCTAGCCACGGCACTTAAGTAGAGTGTAGCTACTTCCTACGGGAGTCTGCTTCCTAAGAAATTCTGCTTCTTCTCGTTCTCAGTTCCCTTGTTCTACCTGGGGCGTTTTTCAATTGTTGCCCTTCCCTCCTATGTGAAGCGGCGTGATGTTCTTACATTTCTTATACTGTTCTACCCTAGAAAAAGCATAGCGACCCCCTTCCATTTCGTTCTCAATCATTGACATGGCTGGGCCGATGTTCGTCTTACCTACGAACGGCATCCCCTTATTCTTGTTCCCCTCTTCTCAGCCAGGAGCGGCGCGGTCCTCATCTACTCACCATGCTTAGCTGTGCTCCGTCTACTCATCTACCCAATCAATCACAATGCACAAAAGACGACAGCGCACAAAGGTGGCACAGCGGCAGCGACAACGTAAGGGATTCTGCTTCTCAACATGAGGGATTGCTCTAGTGGTCCTTAGGGTTTCTACTTTTCAACATAAGGGAGCGTCTTTCGCCATTCTGCGGCAAATGTTCGTCATTTGTACTGAGTCAAACCTTTGGTCGTTTACCTCATTACTGGCTTTCCCTGCTTAGATGATGGCTGCCATCAGTATTGTGGTGCAGCATCAACAATGCCGATAATTATGATCACAAATATGGGCGAAAGTAGGAAAGGTCTCCGAGGTGTCTCGCACTCGTTCTCAGCCCTGTCGTGACTTATGGCCAACGTGTGGACATCGCTATAAGCAGTGACGATGCCTAAGATAAGTAGATATAGACAATCTTGATGCCGCTACGAGTGAGATGCAGGCTGTGAAGTAGTAGGATAGCGCTTGTGATTGCTCAAGGTCAAGGGCTAGGGCTTAGAAAGATCAAACACCTACGAAAGCGCTGGGCCTTGTTATGATTTCTAAGCTGTGGAAGTTGTGACGACTTGCGTCCGGGTTGTGGGGGTTGTGGCAGTTGCTGTGACTGACTAGCCTCAAGCCTACTGTGACTAGCCTCAGCCTTACTGTGACTAGCCTCAGCCTTACCATGACGAGTCGCAAAATTGCTAAGGCCGACTGGTCGTAGAGCTGCTGCGACTAGTTGCAAAAGCTCCGCGACTACTAGCCTCAAGCGTGGCGCTGCGACTAGTCTCAGGCCCACTGTGACTGGTCTCAAACTTACTGCGAATGGCCTGAGACTCACTGTGACCAGCCTCAGACTTACTGCGACTAGCCTCGCGCCCACTGTGACTAGCCTCAAGCCTGCTGCCCCTAGTCTCTGGCTGAGTTTGTCAGGCTGTTCGAATCTTAACACCATCAAGGTACACAGGTGCCAGCCTCTGACGCTGTTAAGATTAGAACAGCCCGACGAACCCAGTCAGAGACTAGCCATAGCAAGCACGGGGCTGGTCACAGTGAGGCCAGTCGCCGTAAGATTGAGACTAGTCGCAGTCGCTTTGAGACTAGTGCTAGTCGCAGTCAGTTTGAGACTAGTCGCAGAAGGTTTGAGACTAGTCACGGCAAGACTGAAGCCCGTCCCAGTCAGTTTGAAAGTGGTCACAGTGAGGCTGAGGCTCGTCACAGTAAGGCTGAGGCCCGTCACAGTGGTCCTGCGGCTAGTCGCAGTAGTTGGGCGACTAGTCGCAGCAATTTTGCGACTAGTCACAGCAGTTTTGCGGCTTGTCGCAGTAATTTGGCGACTAGTCACAAGAAGGCCGAGACGAGTCGCCGCAAGTTTGAGACTAGTCACGCTTTCCCATTTAGGGGGCAAACGAGTGACAAAGTCCGCGGCGATTTCATAGGTGAGCAGTCTTCGTAAAGGGCAACGCTGTAAGTAATATAATAGAAACTTTTATACCCAGCAGTCAACACGAGCACGACCTACACCAGCCACGTCACGCCAGACATGAGATGTAGTAACCCGTGGCGCTGGGCGTGACATGTAGTCAAAGTCACCGGACCTGAAATGCTATTATTGCTTGCACTCCTAAGAAAAGCGCAAGAAGAAGGGCCACTAGCATTCTCTTGATCTATATAATTTCTATTCCAGTCGTGATGTATTCCGGAACGATTCATTTTCATCGAAGGTTGGAAAGCAAAAGATCGCAAATAAATGCCTACGATTATTTACCTGGTCCTGGCAATTTCTACCCGCCAAATTAAACTTAAGCTGTTGCTCTTGAGTCTTTTATTTATTGGATCATGAAGGTGGCGCTTAACAGGCTGTTTTTGGAAAGCAGGGGTGGTAGTTGCGTGCGCGATTGTAACTGAATCCCATGCAGCTTTCTCTCCTCGCACACCAACCCAAACAGTCTTGATTTAGAGGGGCTTGCTTCAATCCGCGTTATCCATCATATATAATCATTTTTTAGGGCTCAATCACAATCTACCATACATTTTCTAGGAACATTTTGGGGCTCAATCATTATCTATCAAATTTTGATTCTGTTTCTGATCGTGATGGTAATAGTTATGAAAAATCTTCACTATGACTATGAATTTGATCATGATCATGATGGATAGCCACTCACTATGATCAACATGTTCAGACTTTTGAGTGTTTCCCTTGAAGTCAATACAGCGACGAAGTTTCCTAAGTTAACGCTTCCCGCTAGGGGGCTCGCGTTCAAAAATTTTATCAGCAGAGGGCCCCAGCTGTTCTAGGGTGTACTTACTGAGCGAAGTTCGCAATTGAACGCCTTCAGCATATGCTCCAAGAGGAGCGATAAGCAAAGGATAAAAAACTCCAACAAGAATTCGCTGATCCATTATTCGACCGTAACTCATAGAGAACCCCGATGGACTCGCGTTCAGCGTCAGTGAGAGAGAACTCATTGCCCGTGAGCTTTACATTGGGCTTCATGATGCACCGTGAACTGATAAGATGAATGCTGCCACAACAACTGATAGGATCATAATATGCCCACCCCGTAGTCGGGGTACTCATAGGAAGAAAAGGGGACAGTGTCGGTCATGGTGCCGCTCACCCTAAAAATATTCTTTCCACGACTAACTCAAACGTACACGTTTGAGTTAGTCTAACAATGTCAATCTAATCAACTAAAGTTCAGTCAACGTGTCAATCTAATAGCCCTTTCTTAAAACGGTAATACTAATACGGGCTTCTTATTCAAGATTAATATCTCTATCAGGTGGAGCATGTAGTCCTTCAGCTCAGAAGGAAGATGGTGCTTCATATTCAAGATAAATACCATCTCACAGGGAGTGCTCCAAGCTCATGATGTACACCTGAACCTGATGCTTCTTATTCAAGATTAATATCAGGTGGTTCCTTCCTTCTTATAATTCAAGATTAATTCATCCCCTTTTCTTCTTCCTTCTCAATTGTCAGTGGAAAACACCATAGATAGGAACGTAGGCTTGGAACACAACGTTGGTACCAGTTCCACCCGAAGTGTCGAAGTCGTGGGCGGGAACGCTATCCGTACATCCTGCGCATTTATTTTCACCCTGTATGCAGATAAAGTATGTGCAAGCCAACTGACCCTGCCCCGTTCTGCATTTGTACTCGGCCGACCCTACAGTGTAAGATCCGCGACATGAATGTTGACCCAGCGCCGTTGATGAGCCAACAATGTCCTCAACGAGGGGATGTAGTCCAAATGCCGTGAAGATGCCTTGGACTTGTTCGTCTCTTATCCCTAACTCAACGTCAACCATTTCTATTTCAGCGGTTTTCTTCTTAATTCAACTATGCAGCTTCTAAGAACAGGAGCAGGACTAGAAAACGGAGGAGATACATGAGATGAAGAGTCCTGAACTCTTATATTAGTATTTATAGGGTTAGCAATAATTTGCGAAATCCTTAAGAGACTCCTTTTCCTTAAGGAGAACCCTTTTCCTTAAGGAATTTCTATTACAAAAAGTTGCTATAACTTTCCTTAAGAGAAAAAAAATTCCTTAAGGAAGCTCCTTAAGGAAAAGTTGTAATAGCCCTTGGCTAATATTAGACCCTTCCTTAAGGGATTCGCAAGGACTCGCAAGGCCCTCTAAAGCCCTTGCGCTGCTAGTGCTACGAGTGGAAAGGCACCGCGAACATGTTAACGCGTTCGCGGCTGTTAGTTTGTAGGCTACTCACGTAGGTACCCAGCCACATCCGCAGCAGGACACTACGCACCCACCCCTAGCGAATCGCCCCAACGAACTTCCAGCCGCTACCCTTGTTATTTATCGCCCAGCGCCTTTACTTTTTTTCAAAAACTTCAGGGAGGTCATTCAAATACAGAGAAAACGGAACGACCTCCCTGAAGTTTTTGTAAAAAAGTTAGCTCGCTCCCCTTCCGCGACTACCTTCCGCACACAGCAATCGACCACAGGAGCGCGCGGCAGCCCTTGGAGATGGTTAACCAGTATACTTCTAACCAGCTCACCAGGGTCCACCCTTCAGCCATGCAAGCCCTCACGGCTATCATTCTCACAGACATCGACATCCTCAACGGCTTCGACTTCCACACACAGCGGCGCATATCTTTGGCCTTCTCATGGATATGATGACGCTCACCAGGGTCCACCCTTCAGACATGCAAGTCCTCACGGCTATCATTCTCACAGACATCGACATCCTCAACGGCTTCGACTTTCACACACAGAGATGTATATCTTTGGCCTTCTCATGGATATGATGACGCTCACCAGGGTCCACCCTTCAGACATGCAAGTCCTCACGGCTATCATTCTCACAGACATCGACATCCTCAACGGCTTCGACTTTCACGCGCAGAAATGTATATCTCTGGCCTTCTCATCTCATGGATATGATGACGCTCACCAGGGCCCACCCTTCAGCTCAGGCATGCAAGTCCCCACGAAGCCGTTGAGGATGTCACCTCCCCAGCCTTCCCTTCCTTGACACAGTGGGAGCCACCTTCCCAGCCTTGGCGAGCAGACTTGGCGACTTTTTTCGTTTGTCTTTTTGTCTCTTAGTAGTCAATCTGTCTAGTTGTTAACCTATGCCCGGCGCAGCGGGCCCTTGATGGGCCCGCTTTCTGGGCATGTAAGTATATGATTCACGTCTACGTCAAATAAAGTCTGTAGTTCTTCATCACTCAGGAGTGGGGCTACAACTAAGCAAAGAACCCGCTCCGCAGCATCCTCTTTCTTCGGCCTTGGCTCAATCTTTCGTCTTTGGCTCAATCAGCGGTCGGGGCTCATTCATAATTTAATTAGAGGGTCTTCACGATCATGCTTTTCGGAGTGATTCCCCTTTTTCCCACCCCTATAAGCTTTGAAGCGGAGAGATCAGTGCTTGAAATGAGTGAAGGCTATACCTAGAGGTAAAGAACGAACCTGAACCGGAGCGCGTCCCATCATAGTACTATAAGTATAACTAAGAGTTTACCTGCAGCTTTTCAATCAACCGGCTGAAAGACAGGGCTTCCCTCTACTAGTACAAGTACGTAGTACCTACATCAAATAACAATACATAGCTTGAGGCTCCTCTTAGGGTGTATGAAAATCGAAGGGGACAACCCCACCCAAGAGCCAACACAGTGACATCAAACTATCGTGATCACTAACAATAACTATGGTGATAAATAATGACTATAGTGAAGATACAGATACCCACGACCACCCTGGATATCGTCGAAGGGAACGACCCCACGCACCCCCTGAATATCGTTGAAGCTGGATAGTCACACAGTTAGTCCGCGACACTTAGTCCAGTGGACTACTCGATAAACCGAAATAAGCAAGTAAATGACTAGAACAGCGCAGAAGATAGTACTGAAATGAGGGTAGCCTTGAAAAGGTAGCTCTCCTACTGCAGGCACTAACTCGCATGCTTTCAGTTTTCAAATAGTTAGTCCACACTTCGTCCTCGAGTGGACTAAGCGCACTTAGCCCTCCCGTGGACTAAGTCTGCACTCGAATATAGTGAAATAGAACTAGCCTGCTCAAGCTTTAAACAAGCTCTATTGTTGTCGGAGCAGTGGCCAGCCGCACAGGACTCGAAGATAGTGAAATAGATTAAGGCCAATATGTACTGGTGTTCTGGTATTTGGTAGTCTGAAAAGTTTGATGATAAGGGAAAGCAAGAAGAGAACCCTTGCGATCGAATTCAGGTTACCAAATATCGGAACCATTGACAATATTAGTGAAAATGAAGTTACTGTTACAACTAGGACAGTAATGAATGAAGTTACCATTGACAAGTTACTGTTAATAGGCCAATTCTTGTGAAAATGAAGAAGTTACTTTTACTAGCCTTAAGTCTAAGTCAAAAACTCTACGAGCCCCCAAAAGATCTCCGGAGCAGTAGCCATCCGCAATCCGCCAGTGATCTCCAGCCATTGTGAGATCCAGTGGTGGATCGTGCAGCATTTGTTCGTATGCGGAGACCGTGGCTATTAGACATCGAGGGCCCTAGGATTAGGATTTCGAAAAATAGACATCGAGGGCCCTAGGATTAGGATTAGGATTAGGATGTGTTATAAGCGAGTTGATTGATTGATTGATTGATTGATTGATTGATTGATGTGCCTATTCGTGAGGTAGAGGGGCTACCTAAGTGCATGAGTAACAGACGAGCAGAATAACCGAGATTATACTGTTGATGAACAAGGAAGGGTAGCCCTGTCAAAGCTACCTTCCTTATTTCACTCAGTAACTCGTTTATTTTCAGTTTTCGAGTAGGATGTGTTCTTGATCCACCACCATCCGCAGGGTTTGGGTTTAGCTGCATTCTCAAGCGGATTAACGAGGGCCCCCGCATTAAGGATTTGATTTCGGGGGGCCCATCTACTCGAACTCGAAGAACTCGAAGAAGACCTACTATGAGTAATAACCCATCTTCGACTCTACGAGATCCTCTGATCACGCTGCTCCTGGGCAGACAGAGGTCACGAACCTAATAATCCATCTGGGTCTACTTTTCGCGAGTAGTAAAGACGAGGTCTTTCAGGCAACAAGCATCTATGTCCTAGTATAGTTATTTTCTACTCGGATTAGGGGAAGCGGAAGGACAAGCCTTAAGGTTATACGACTTCGACACTCGCCCGTCATGGTGACTGCTACGTCATATTCGTCGTCGGACCTTCTTAGAGTACAGAAGATATTTCTCTTCCAGAAATCGAAACACTGAACAAATAACCGAGGATGCTAGGGAGTAATCTTCTCAAATACTGCGCGTATATATTGTGGTGGGTATTTGCTCAGTTTCAGCAGCTGGGAGTAGCTATATCGAGTTCGGGACTTCAGGTAGTAGCCCTTTTACTCTCTCATGTGTGTATGAATATCCGATGGCGCTGTTCGCCGCACCCGCAGACTCTGTAATAGTTCTGAAGATAAAGTGCTCTTTGAATTTGGTTGCTAACGTCAATCGCCCTTCTCAACAACAGCCCAATGAAACCTAGCGAGCAGAACAACCCTGCCGAACTTAGTGTTCCTTTTGCTGGGACTCTTGCTGTGTTTCATTCGAATAGCTCTTGCATTTACATCACCCTAGGTATCTAATTTGAAATATATTTGTGGTTTCTTTGAGGAATGTTAGATCTAAACGAGTAGCACACGGGCTTTTTTTTAGGGGTCTATTCTAACGGCGCAGAAAGAGGAGAGCGCCTTTCGGTAAACGTCCTTGCTCTTACTCGTCCTCGCTCTTAAGTACGTATCCGTATTCAAGACGCCCGTTTTGGTTTTCAATCGGCAGTATATACCGTCACCACCGTGCTTGTTGGCTTTGGGCCTGTAGCTGAACCGCAAACAACTGTCTTCCTCCGCGCACGCCTTGTAGCAATCGTTCAGCTCACGTCCGTCAGAATCAGGGATCTTTATGTCGCTAGTACCGCAGCTTTCGACTGTCGCAAGACTTAGAGCTTGCCTTGCCTTTGGGCGCCATCTTTGACACATTGCCTTTCCCCCTAAAACAGGGCTAACATGGATGCTTCTCAAGTAGAAAACCCTAAAAAAAAAGAGCTCATTTAACCCTAACCCAATCCCGAATGAAATACACCTAATCCTCCAAACCCTCCAGATCCCAAAGATTCTAAATGAAATAACCCTGAGACAAACCCTAACCCTAAGTAACTAGTAAGAGCCCGGCAATCATTCCAGTAAGCGAGCCTTAAGTGACGTATCATTTCTTTTTCGCACTCGTCATTTAGGTCCACGATCAGTACGGCGGCGTCGCGACATTCATCCGCCATTAGAGGTCTCCGTAGTTCATCTTTCTACTCGTCGTGCATCCTTGTTCTTGTAGAGTTGTATTTGTATAATTAGCACGATAAAGATAATACTCGCGCATACTTGTTTTCAAGGATGCGCCAAAAGATGAATTAGCTACAGCCTTAACGTCATGCTTACCATATCGGTCTGTGGATTGTGGAATCTACTATGAAGGATGTTGTCAATATTTCTCCCCTCATCTAGTACTAGTTCTAGAAGCCACATCTTCACGGCTACTACCCCTTCCCTCTTATTTTCCCTTTAAAGTGCCAAGAGACCATCAGAAGGGCTACCCTTTCATCTTCCTCAACATCGTATATTAGACGATGAACAAGAAGCCAAGCCAAAATTCTAAGGGCAGCCGGAAACAAGGCTCGGCTGGCGCTGGCCTGTTAAAACATAAATAAGGGAGAAAATTAAGGGAACGAGCCGCCAACATGGATGGACTATTATTAACGTTAAGAAAGTGGGAGAAAAAAACATCATCCATATCTAGCGTGGTAGCTCATGTAGAGCTTCTTTAATTCGCATGGCTTCTTCATTCGAGTTTTGTGGAAGACGATGCCCACGCAACCAGCCGTTTTGGCGCACTTTTGCAGGCACCGCTCTTTTTTAGACCTCGACTCAACTTCTCTCCTTTTGAGTTTTTCTTAAATTACACCCACTAGTCAAGTTATGTTAACTCAAACTGACTCACTGTCACTAGTAGAGGCACACGAGCAGCAATAGCTTAAATTTCCTTAACAAGTATTAACTCAAACTGAGTGACCAGAAGTAAAACTAGCAGTAGACCTGCTGACTCAGGACCAGATGCACAAGCTCAGAAGGTTTAGATCAGTAGTCCTTAGATCCCACTTTTGTATCAACTCACTGGAACAAGCAGGAGAGCTACTTATTAACTCACTAGAAGTACAACAATAACAATTAGCAGTAATATACCTGCTGACCCGTCCTCAGGTATACCTGCTGAATCATCCTGAGAAGATCCTGGGAGATCACAGGATGAATTTTTAGGAGGAAAAGCCTTAACGTATGTGTTACCGATTTCCATGTGATCCGCGTGGCTAAGGTCGATCTTATTTCCCACAAAGTGCGTACCCGCGTCGACCTTGCAAAGCTGATCGATTTTCCCATGCACCATTGCGTATCCATGATCGTCAGGTTCTATTAGAAGGTGCATATAATATATATATATATATCAATTTCTTGCATTCGCTCAGTTCAATAGCCAATACAATATCAATAGCTCCTACAATAGAATACGAATGCAATGCAGTACAGCTACAATGTATTGAGTTGTCTCTTATCATGTCCCGTCAAAGGTAGGGGATCGAAATGCTGAGAAAGCTGGACGCAAAATGTTGACCATACAGCTACGGCGTCGCCAGGCAATCCCGAACAATGCCAGCAGGCAGTGCCCTTGTTCTTAGACTACTAGTCGCGTGAAAAATTTCGAAAGTCGCGTCCCAAGTTCAATTTTTGAATAACGTATAATTGCTATTTCTTCCCTCAGAAGTTTTTCAAATTGAAATTGAATTACTTATCCCATTGAATGAGCTTCGAAGCGGAGAACTTAACAATTATGCAGCTTAAAGTTGAATGTGCTATCTTCTACTTGGAGAACTTACCACAAAAAATATGTTTTGAAGCAGAGAGAACAGTGCAAACGATCGCACAGCTGCTACGTGCAACTGCTCCAATAATCGTCCATGGAAACTGGTAATGGTAATCATGGTAACTAAATGGTAATTATGGTAACTAAAGTTAATGAAAATGGTCATGGTCACTAAAACTGAAGTAAATTAAAAGTATCTTTATCTTATCATCGTAGCCCGCTCCTCACATGAAAAATGTCTTATCATCGTAACTTTGAGAACAAAGTAAACACACGCTGGGTTGCTGCGGCACTTCTCTCGGCACCACGACAGTGTCACCTTATCGCTTTGAGCTTCTCTCGAGAGCTGGCAATCTTAGAAGAAACAAAAGGCGTAGAAAAAGAAGAACAAAATCCATCTTCTCTAATTTGCCTTCTTTTCGCACTGATGCCTTCCATCAGCACAAGTGTGGCGTTGTTGTGGCACGGATGACTTCTTGCGAGATGGATCAGTTTGATTTTCTTCACGACCCTTAATAACCGCTAGCGGACCCACAGGCTTTATCGTTATGCTGAGTCAGCCTCACAAATTCAGGATAGCTCGAGACCGTTGCTATCCGTGACCGGCCACCTTAGAGCTTAGGCCTGTGCAGTGGTCTGAAAGCATGTATGATGCGTAAATACGTGCTAAGCGTGAAATATGTGCCAGAAGAGTTAAGTCGAAAGAGTGAGGTATGATTCTCTTGGGAAAAGGAGGCGGAGAGGAGTAAAGCCAGATGGTGTTTGCATATAGATACGCGGCGCCCCGCAGGCGGGCACGGCTGTCGAAATTGGTCATATGCAAGTGCAAGAACCGCGGCCGCTGAAGAAGAAGACGCCCAAACGCAAGAGCCCCAGCGGCTAAAGAAGAAGAAAAAGAAGAAGAGCAAGCAGCCACAACGATCGACGCCACAGCCGACCCAGTGCCGACGGAAACTTCTCGAGAGCTTGAGTAGCTCCGCTCTTCCTTGTATATAACGAATTCAAACCCCTATGATCTGTTAAGCTTTTAAGCATTTACAACTTGTCTCTGAGAGGAAACTAAAGCTACGAGTACTTAGACTTACAGCTTAATCATGTAGCTTCTCAAGGTAGACGAGAGCTTGCAACTCTGAAAGGCCAAGAAGACTTTTAGTAGCAATGTTGGTAGTAGTAGTGTGCCCAATCTTGGGGCTTAGTGTAGTTTTAGTCAAAAATTAGCAGCTCCTGTAGTGTCTCCTGTCGGGCCTTAACATTCTGCAGCCATTTCGATAAGGGAGTCTACCTCTGCACTCGGACCGGACGCTTTGACACTCTCATATAGTGTGCACTCTTCCTTACCGTCATTGAAAGACAAAGCGACACAGGTGCTGGCTTTTGCACATTTCACCAAGCAATCGGCCACCATATTAGCGGAATACAAGAGCACCACGTGGATCAGCAGCTCTTTTTCAGCAGTTACTTTTATTTCAAGATGAAAAAGTAGACGAATATGCATCATGAAGATTTTGCTTTTTCAAAAAAGTACTAGCAAACTAGCAAGACCAACAGCAAGTGCTCCTGACTAAAGTGAACAACTGTACCAGCATCTTTTTGAGATTAGTGTATAAGCCTTTTCGAGATGAAGGCACCATCAGCTCTAAGCGCCCTTAATGAGAGTGACGCCGGTGCTCACTGTAGTTGCGTCGTCTGTCTCGATGCCCGTTCCTCGCCGAATGTTTTTTTCTTAAAGGTGGCCACTCACTAGAAGAAGAATGCCTGGAGGTCGGGTGGGGCATAACTTGTTTTCTTTTCGCTTGCTTTCGTTTGCCCATAAATACTACACAGCTAGTATCTATTATTACTAGTAAGATGTAGATGAACCGCCCACCACGCAGCATACCCCACGGAGCAACGAGATGCATATAAGTCACTACTAGCATGATCTACTATGAGCTGCTACGATCTAACATGAAAAAATATTGTTAGTGATCTCCTACTATAACTATCTAGCTCTACCCTTTCTTATCTTTCGCAGGCGTCCTGTTCAATTATGGCGTCGGCGGGTGGTGGGGTCACAGTGGTCGGCTCCAAAGCCAACGCACCTTTCAGACAAAACGCCATCGCCTTCAACCTTAGAGAATTTTTGCTCATCAAGCTCGAGTATCAGGTTAATCGTGGGCAGTGGGAAGGGCTTTCATCAGGACGAATTCATGCTTTTATCTCGCCGGGATCTCTTCAATATTGTGTGGATGTCGTGATCGAGCAGACCTAGCTTACTAGGAAAAAACACAACAATGAGCAAAGAGAAAGATATAGAAACAAGAGCACGCTGTAGAGATCATATTGAAGATGCTCCGTAGATAGAAATAGAATAAGCAAGTAGAGATCATTACAAGAAGAACAAGAGCAAGAAGAACTTACTTTGTTCAGGCATTCGCTTGCTATTCTGATTATAGCTAAGTATAAGCTTAAGCTCGCATGTGCATCAGATGAATGGGAAAGGGAGGTGGAACAACGGACATGGCCATAGTTTGAACGACTTTTGCGTCACGCCAGAGCACTTCCATGCACTGTCCTTGGGTTCACTTTGGTCGACAACTTGGGGGCAGCTACCTCCTCCGTCGCAGCCTCTTTTTAAAGCAGGTTCAGATATACGTATAGGGGTGGAGCCAACCTAGCTAGGAAAGAACCAAAAAAGAAGAAAGTCAATAATTGACATTTAGTTTCTTATTCTTTGTGGAAGTAAAAGGAATGGTAGCAGTGTCTAGCTTAGGGGAGAATTAAAAGCACCATGTGAATGTATGTCCCCTCAACTTCCTTACAAGGGAGAGAAAAGCGGAACAAGCGCGACCATGTGGGTCCACACAAACACCTCCCTTTTTATCCTACTACACTCTTCTCGTTCTCGTCTCCCTGCCATTTTTTTCTACCAAGAAATGATAATGATGCCTGAAGAATAAACCGAAGAAACGATAATTATGCGTTTCTTTCAACCCTTATATCGAGTAGACTGGGCGAGTGGTCTCATCATATTGAAGATCCAGGATTTTTTCATCTAAGAGGTGGAGTTTTTGTTTTTTCTCTTCCTTAATGTTACTGCCTCACATGCGCCACTAATCGAGCTGTAACCGGCGCCGCAAGCGCTTTCCGCATCTCTGGAGCTTCCTCCAGACCACGACATACGCGCGATAGTCGGGGTAGAGCTCCCACCGTTAGAGGTAGAGAAGGCGCGCATCGCAGATCTGCCATCTGGGTGATTTTTTGATGTTCTTCCTATTTTCGTTGATGTCCAGATGGCTTTGGCGGTGCATACTCCACACTCTCACTCATAACATCGATAATGCCAAAAGTGTTAGAGCTACCGAAGTCGTATCCCCCTTTTTGAGAGTAGCAGCACCCACCTTGGAAAAAGGTGCTCCTTTTTCAAGTTGAAAAAGAGACCAAGGAAGGATGGATCAATCGATGGTGCTGAGACCGCTGAATCAGCTTCGGCGGTAGCCTTAAAAGCGATTGGTGGCACGCAAATAGCCCGCGAGCTTGTCTCAACATTGGCGAGACCACCGCATTTCCAATTTTCGGCAGTATTATTCGCAGGTCCAGATACGGCAATCTGATTCTCGTATAGCGCAAACGACCTTAGAAGCGATGATCATCATGAAAATCGAGTTTCTACGTTTAAGTAATGATCTATATCTTAGAACAAGCGATAAAGATCAAGTTTAGTGTAAGCAAGTTTTTTAAGGTTAAGTTTTATTTCACAACGCAATCACAAGTGCCAGTCCTCTGTCTCAATAAACCGAATCGGTGGATGCTGGGTGTATTCATAGTACAAAAGTCTCGCTCACCTTCTACGTACCCTCCCCATCTAAAAAAAGGATGCTGATGAAAAAACCAAAAGTGTCAAACTCAAATATTATGGACCACCACGCGCTAACTTGGCATTTGGCAAAGACAAAGAGTCGCTACCATCTATATCTTGCTAGTTGGGCAGCTTGAGTCATCTAAACGTCTACACAAATTGTAAGGCAGAGCCTTTGGTTTGAGTGAAGAAATAGCCCCTACTTCCCTATGCGTGTACAACTAAGTCAGGTTAATGGAGTAAGAATCTGTTGTGCTAGCAATATCTTCAGCAATTATATTAGAGCGAGACCCTTTTCGCCCGATATCGGGCCCAGTTGCTCGAGCTGAACGAGTTCCATACCGAAAACGTTTGCGCTGCGCCCTTCCGGCGCAATGTCTTCGATGCGTCAAATACGTTACCCAGGAGCGCGAACCACCTCCAAAAGCGAGCGCCCTCAGTAGCGTCGCGTCTCACTCTGCGAGGCGCTGCATGCGCGGGGCAGACAAGAGCAGCGCCACCCGGGGCCCCTGCTCTCGTAGCTTTGTGTTACTAAGTTAGCGCGCCTACCTAGTAAAGCTCCTGCCCTATCAAAGAAGCACACAAACAGAGCCAGCCCATTCAGATGCATCCACTCAGGAGCGCCTTGCCTGTGATGCTAGCTACCCACTAGGCGGCGCGCTACCCAGTAAGCCCACTCAGCGCAAACAAATGGGCGCCAGGGCGGGAGGCTGGCTGCTGGAGGGGGCCTCGTTCAAAATATAGGGCGCCCTCATATACTCCCGAACCCCAAGTCCCAAGAAGTCGAACAAGCTGGCCACTCATCAGCAAAAAAGTAAACCAGCGTAGCCAGATCGCGACCGAAATCAACGCGCGACTATGCAGAGACACCGACACAACGAAGAAGGCGCTGCACTTCGCAAGGCACGGGCCCGCGCGTCTCAAACAAAAAAGGCTTCGAGCTTCGCCTTGTTACTTTCGCGAAGCTCAAGCCCCGAAGAGCTCAGCCGGGGCGCATCGCTGCAATACAGACGGCAGACCTGCCAAGCCCAAGAGACAACAGGCCGCGACTTTCTTCTGAGCTCCGTGGCATCTTGGCCCGCCGTACCGCCTTGGGGTGCTGCGCTTTCTAAGTAACAAGCTGCCCAGAGGAACTCGCCAGCAACTCGCCCCGGATTGGGCCTTCGCGTTTCGGCAACTCGTGGCAACTGCTCGAGAGAACTCGAGCAGCCCGTAACTCGAAAAGCGGACTACTCTATTAAATCTTCACCATGGTCCGTGGTGAAAGAATCTACAGCGTCAGCACCTCTATCAGCAAGCAGGCAAATATAAATCGCAATCCCTTTCATCCTTAAGTATCTTCTCTATCCAACAAGTAAATAAATCTCTTTCGTCCTGCCCTCCTTAAGTCTGTAAGTGGATTGCAGCCCCCACCCAGCACTTTTGTGAATGTTCGATGTGGGAAGGAGCGAGAGGCGACGCCCGCTGTGGGACAGGCGGCGACGCTAGATATCGGCACACCTCCCGCGGCAGCGGTGGCCGCCCCTTCGTTGCTGGAATCGCTCAAGTACACTGGAATCGTCGAAGAGCAGAAGGCCCACGCCTTCTTTGCCCCTAGCCCGCCCTGACAGTGCCAGCCGCCTTCCAGGCCATTGACGTTCCCGTACGGCCAACTTCGCGCTAGTCTTGCGTTGCTGTTTGTTTCGGCGACGCAGCCTCCACCGATCACGGCCATGCCCTGAGGGCAGGGAACTCTGACGTGGTCTCCCTTGTTCTTAGAGCGAGAAGTGGTGCAATATTTGAATTTGTAGGTTTTGTAGGAAACTCATCTTGAGTAGTTCATGCTTATTTAATAAGGATCGATGTAGTATGGCTCTGGCATTTTTTAACCTGAATTTGATCCGTTGATTGAATTCTCTTCATCTTTTCCCTTAGGTTCAAAATCAGGTTACCGAATACCAGAACAATGCAAAGGAGGGAGAGAGAGAGAGAGAGAGAGGCGGGGTCATCTCCCCTACTGCTAGAGCCGTTCTTCTCCTGTAGGGGCTTGAGGTGTAGGAAAAGGCGAGAGAGAGGGACGGGGTCATTCAACCTGATGTTAGACGCTGGAAGCTCATGATCTGAGAGAACAAGAAATCTTTCTGGGGGGTGCCTTGTTTTTCCTCGTGTCCTCTTCAGCCATGAGTACACGCATAATTTCCAGCGCCTTCCTCACATCTTCAACAATTGTTGCCCAGCTCTCTCTCTCTCTCTCTCTCAGATGATTGCAGTTCTACCTTCTACTTTCAGACCTCTTCTTCGCTCTCTCACCAGGTCAGATGGCTCATTATCATTTGTCAGATTGGCATTTGAATTATTCAGATCGAGATCGACGTCCTTGACTCGGACTCCTTATCCACTGGGAAATATCCGGCCAAGATGATTCATGGCAGTCGTTGTGAGGAGTGCAAGAATACGTATAGATACGGGGGTGGCAACGTAAGACCCGTCTTCTCTTCTTCATCATAAGGTTGGATGACGCTATGGGCCCGATCCGAATTGCGGTGTGATGCACCGGCTTGTCTTCTGCTAATTCTCTACATGCGGTCGTCATCCGCACAAGGTCCGAGCCCGCGGATACCATCGTTGGTGGATCAACTTTGCCGTCCAACCATTGGCCGATTTTGGAAGATTAGCGCTTTGTCCATCTTCATCTCAAGTTGCAAGAACTATCAAGAAGATCATCGTCCTGAGCCAGAGATACCAGCTATTGTTCATCATGCATCACCATGAAATACCCAGTCCAGAAAAATGACGGGTTGACCGACGACGACGATCAACTTCTGCTCTATTCGAACAAGTGCGTTAGTGGGTGAGTGAGTGAGTGACTGACTGACTGAATGGACCCTCTCCACGGGTATAGAAGACCACTACGCACACCACCAAAAGGAGCCTTAAAAACACTGCAGGTAAAGTCGAGTACGCTTGAAGACGAAAGCCTCACAGTCCGTCTCCTCTGCGCAACTCTTTAGGCACTCTGCGAAAGTGGTCCCGGCGCTTAGAGAAAGACTCTTCGTCTCGTCGCGTCTTTTTTCTGTAGCTGTAGCATAAGCAGTGGTCTAGTGTGCCCATGATTCGTGGGGGGTGGCTACTCTTTTACGTAAGTAGCGCTGTGCCCTATCTTCACACCTAGATTTCTCATACACGCCAGCAGTGGAGCAGCGTAGTCCCCACCACGAACTAAATTGCATTCTAAAGTAAAGCCCCTGCCCTATCACGACTTGCAAGACAAGATGAAGATCCACCCTCGAAAAAGAAAAAGGCCCAGTAGATCGAGATCGTCCTCCAATCCTACTTCTACTACTCGATAAGGCGAGCAAATGAAAATACTCGCACTCACCTGTAGCCGTAGCCCCTCCTAATGGGCACGATACTAGTTAGACTACCTAAACGCAGGGCCTGCGAAAGCAAACAACCTAGTACAAGTACAATCATCTAGTCCCTCCTTTGATCAATGTTACGCAATCACGGTAGCCCTCTTCTAGTGGTGAAAAGGGCGACGATGCTGCATCCGAAGGAATACCATTCGAAGAACTGAAATAGCAGGGTAGTCAGGTTACCTAATAAGGGGGCAACTCGCTTGGCATTCTCCTTGAAATTACTTGCTTACGCTGAGGCCTTGCTTTACACTAGAGACCCATTTGCCTTAAGGACGCTTCTACCTCTGCGTCAGTCGCTCTCAGAGTACGTGCTTCTTTGAGTGTTGTTGGATAGTACGCCTTGCGATCTGCGATATCCGTATCCGTCTGAATGTTGGATCTTAGAGAGCTATTAATTACAGCACGGCACCTTAACGAAGACAAAACAAGGCGTAAACAATTATCAGCACAGGCCAAAAGATAAAGACAGCTATTTTTTTGTGAAGATGTTGAGTTTGAGCTTGCAGAGTTTTGGCAATAGCAAGTAATATTTCTATTCTTATCGACGCCAGTACTTTCTAAGTAGATTAACTCAGCTGCGTCAGCGACATCTTGTCAAAAACTATTCCGATTCATTTTCGTCATTCCCGCCTCTGAGTTCTCTAAACTCACAACACAAGGCGAGGGTGCATGTAGACAGTAGCCACGTCTTGAGTTCATTCGACTCTCCAAAAGGAATTCTTTTCCAGATCCAGTAGATGTGGACGGAGCCAGCCCTAAGTAACTAGAAAAAGGGTGGCATAATGATTAGTCAAGTGCCCAGACCTGCTACTCATCTAGATCTAGTAGATCTACCATCTCGAAGGCCTAGTAGATCTAGATGAGTTTGTTACTAGCATTTGATCTGATTTCCTAGCAACAGGCAACTACTCTAGGTTCAAACGGTGCAAATCT